GTAGTTTCATGCTGACTCAGCAAAAAAGTGTTGATTCAGCAGCCCGACAAGTGACGCCTCACACCACACTCACTAATAGAAGTGTTAGCACTAAGAACCATAATTGGATACTTCAGTCATAGCCACTGCTAGAAGTGTGGCGATGCTCTGTGGTGCACTCTGTGCAGTCAGCTTACCCCTGTTTCCTCTGTACATTCATCATGTCAGAGGTTATCAGAGGTTGTATGCTGAGATGGTTGTTTAAATCTGGATGGACGAGGCCAGATGGACAAACATAGAGGTCCATACATGACCAGTGTGTCCTGATCTGCCCTCACAGGCTTCTTTATCAGGCAGCCCATGCCCATGTGTCAAAAAATGTCACCAAGGATAAAAAGAGAGCAAATTAGATTTCATAAAAGCATGCACATACAGTATATGGGTAGTGTATGAATTCTGTGGTTGTTCTGGCATGCAATGTTGATTAAATGTGTTTACGCTTTATTTCCACATAATCAAGTAATAATCATAATTACAGCATCAAACAAATGGGCTGAATTGTAATCAACACAGATACTAAACCACGTTGTATTCTCTGTAGCGTGTCCTCAACATCTCCAGGGTAGAGCTGAATGTGGCCCTTCAGGTTGCTGTGAAAGAGTATAGTGTGATTTATTGTCAGGGGATAGCTACTTGTGTGTGCCTTGTCTCTATGTGCCATTGCAGGACAAAGATGTTGGGACACAAAGGAGACAAACACAGACATTTCATAGATAAAGGGCAAAAGTGGGTTCTGCGCTTCGCCGTGAATAGAACTGATTACACAGAAAGATGACCTGAGCCAGACTACAGACTGAATCAGGGCACCTCCTCGTTCACTTTGCGGACATGCAGCACTCATCCTGTTCACTCTCGTGCATACTGTACCGCTGCAATGGCCTGCTCTCCTCTGGTGTTCTTATCAGTACCATCCATGCATAGTTCAACCTCCCCTCCACACACACACACACAGACAGATATACCAGTGCTCACATGTCTTAAAGTAGCAGAACACAGCAGAGAGCAGTCTAGCCCAACCATCTCGTCCCCTGGGCTTGTCTCATTTGGGCTCCCCCAGAGATACAGTAGTTCCTGAGTCAGGGTCACTCCACTGAGTCCACCAACTTTTAATGTCTCACCACTGTTCCCTTCAGGCTAGCTGAAAGGGTAGCTCCTGCTAATGGAGCGCTGATTGTGTTATGGCCACAATTATCTCTCTTTACCTCTGAACTTTGGGCTATTAGCAGGATAGATAGTACCCAGGGTCTGTTTCCAGTCACAGAATAAGAGATTGTCAGGATGATGGAGTATACCAGCCAAGCAGGGTTCAGGAAATGCCATTACACCTTTCCATGCACCCCCACGCCCCTCCCCCAGCTGAAACTTGTACATAATGTAGGCGAGAAGGGTAACTAAAGCTCGCTGTAAGAAATACCAGCAGAGGATAAAGTGTCGTCTCGAGGCTCTCACAAGACATGAATCATATGTAACCTGCTGTGCTGTTGAACAAAAAGCTGGGGATTGACATTACATGAAACAGGTCTGTGTGTAGCTGGCAGATTCTTGGAAAACAAGAATACAAGTGTGTGTTAATAAGCCCACATCCCATGGTGACACAGTACAGCTTGAACTACTAATGGTTTAAAGGGGAAATCTGCCATCAGACACACTAATCTTAAAAATCACTAGAGCCCTTAGAACAGTCGCAAATATGTTGTTTTTACTTGAGGCAGGAGTAAAGTCATGAACAGCTTGAGATCTGTGTTTAGACAGTTACCTCTGCACAGGATAAACTGATTTAAGCTGTTTAGGGTGAACCTCCTGACCTTTGATGTGAGGTTGCAGTGGAGTGCAAATAGTGAAACTGCTTTGAGACTAGATTGTACTGGTTTAAATCTGTACACAAGCTGGACAAGGCTTCTCAGCAGAAGTGAACAGCTTTAACTTCCAGGATGCAAAGCAGTTTGTATGTGTGCAGGCCTTAGCCCTGACCTAGTGTCTTTTGTCTAATCGTTCTGTTTCTCTTTCTGTCGTGTCTTTCCTTTGCAGACGAGCTCACCTGCGGCTGTGTCTAGAGCGATTGAAGGCCCTCATACCCTTGGGACCTGACTGCAACCGTCACACCACGTTTGGCCTCCCGAACAAAAGCAAAGC